TTGGAAGAAATGGTCAATACGTAAGACTATTACACAGTAATCAACAAAAAGTGTGCAACAAATGCCTGTGTGATGATCATTTAATTTACGAGTGCCCCAAATACAGGTGCAAACAATGTCAAGAACTCGGCACACGGAAAGGTATTGTCCACAGTCGCGCTGCTTCAAATGTAAAAAAACAGGTCATTATGCTCAACAATGCGAGAGTGTGGGTGCTGACTCCATTGAAAACAATGACAGTGATAGAAATGAATCAGCGCATGAGACAAACATTAACACTAGCTCACCACCTAATCATGATACAACTGAAATTGAATGCGAAACTACAACATCGTGGGATACAAGTGACGAACCTCACGACGAACATATCATACCTGCACAGAAATCGAAGGAAGATATTATAGAAGAAAGTACCGAAAAAATGGAAAATACAGATACACATAGCAATCTTGATCGCGCCTCCACCAATGAATCCGGCAACAGACAGAAACGGCATCTTTCAAGCGAGGAAGAACCAAGAAATAGCCAAGACGAATCTCGACAGCGAAAGAAACAAACACGGAAGCCCAACTTAAAGAACTCTGCAGTAAGACAAGCGTTTACTCAAAAATAAGGTGATAAAAAGGCGGAAAATGAAGACGGACAGAGTAACAAATGTAAACAATAAGAACAATGTTTGTGAGTATATCGTTATTTATGGTGATTTTAGTATCACTTAATGTCAACGGTTTTGTAAATAGTGAAAAGATATTGCAAACAATTAATTTGTTTAAAGCAAATCATTATGACATAATTTGTTTACAAGAAATATTTTTGTCAAATTGTAATGTAAACGATATCACAAAAAAATTAGAAAATGACTTTGAAATATTTTATTGTCTGTCGTCAGATACAGCTTCAAGGCGAGGTGTTTGTTGTCTTGTTAGGAAAAAATCGGGAATTGAGGTCATAAATACAACTTGTTGTAATAATGGAAGAATCGTTCAGCTCACATGTGACATTGATGACCAACAAGTTAATATAATCAATGTGTACGCTCCCACTGTAGTTAAGGACAGGTGTGATTTTTTCGATGGCCTGGGGCAATATCTTTTACCCGACTGCGCTAATCTGGTGATAGGCGATTTTAATTGTTAACAGAACTTTGAAATGGACAGTGGAGGTATTGCAACAGCGGGCGACAGATCACGTGCCAATCTTTTAAATTTAATGAACCAAAATTCCCTCATTGATGTTTGGCGACGACAACATAAACACGCTAAACAGTTCACTTGGCGTAGATATGATAACGTAAACAATGTTTTACGACAGAGCCGTATTGGTTACCTGTTAATGCAATCCTCTCACATACATTACTGTGTATCATCAGAAATTGTAAAATATCCATTTAGTGACCATGATTTACTAAAGTATAATATAAAATTTGATAGGGTCAATAGAGGCCCGGGAATATGGAAGTTTAACAACGAATTATTACAAGATGAAGAATACACCAATAAAATCCAAGAAATAATAGAAATGTCCAAAACCGCAAGTGCATACTTTGAAAATAAACTTGTCTGGTGGGATGCTCTAAAAGAGCAAATTCGGCTTTTTTCCATAGCAGCGAAATATGTCGATTATAATTTAACTAAAGTATTTGAACTCGAGAAAGAACTTGAATCAATTACTAAAAGTGAGATCAATGGTGCAATTATAAGAAGTAAAATTAAAAATTTTGAAGAAGGCGAAACTAGCTCAAAATATTTTTTTAATCTAGAAAAATCTCATCAAAACTCAAAATTAATTACGAATATAATAAGAGATGACGGAAGTACGATAAATACAAGCGATGATATACTTGCTGACGGCGTTTTGTTTTACTCCGACTTGTATAAGAAAGAATATCACGATCAAACAAATATTGATAACTTCCTAAAATTTGTAAATGCTAGACTTGATGACGATGACAAAAATAATTGCGAAAGTCAATTGACAATTGATGAGCTTCATTGTGCACTCCAAAACATGACAAATGATAAAAGTCCCGGATGTGATGGGCTCACCGCTGCTTGGTATAAACGGTTTTGGGACGATGTTTCGCATGACCTGCTCGACTGTTATAATTTGGCAATTGAAACTGGTTCCCTCTCATGTAGTATGCAGCGGGCCTTTATTACGCTCATACCGAAATCAAACTGTGATAAACGTATGTGGAAAAACTGGAGACCTATTAGCCTTTTGAACGTGGATTATAAAATTATGTCCAAAACACTGGCAAACCGCCTTCGTAGCGTTATTGGAACCATTATATCCACTGATCAGACTTGCTGCATACCCGGTCGCGATATTGTTGACAATGTTGTATGCATGAGCAATCTCATCGACTACGTCAATGAAACGAACCAGTCAGGTATTTTTTTAAAACTCGAGTCGATCACCAATATTTAATGAGTACCTTGAAGACCTTTAATTTCGGACACGATTTCATGAATTGGATAAATGTATTATACAATGGCGCGAATAGCAGCATTAAGTGTAATGGCTACCTGTCAAAACCATTCACTGTAACTCGCGGCATAAGACAAGGGTGCCCAATTTCTGCAATTTTGTATGTATTGTCCGCCGAACCCCTTAATGCTGCTATCAAAGCTAACTCTGGAATCACAGGCATTGGTATGCCTGGCTGCCGAGATATTTCTCTTGTTTACCAACATGCTGATGACACAACGCTTAGTCTCCGGGATGACAAATCAGCGCACAGGTCTTTCGAAATTCTAAGTGACTATGAGGGCGCATCAGGTGCAAAATTAAACTATGATAAAACGCAGTTGTTATGGCTCGGAACAATGCGAGGGCGCACTGACAATCCTTTCCCCATAAAACACTGTGTAAATAAGATTAACTTGCTAGGGATTACTGTTGGAAATGAAAACTGTAATTATTTGGAAGACAATTGGGAAAAAAGAATTAACAAGTGTACCAAAATTATGAAACAGTGGTCCCACCGAAAACTGACATACAGTGGTAAAATCTTAATTATCAATAGCCTAGTATCATCAACTCTATGGTACACTCTCTCTGTGTTAAGTATTCCTGACGTGTATGTAAACAAACTGAAAACAAATATTACAAACTTTTTCTGGAGCGGTAAAAAGCACCTTATTAAATATGACGTTCTAACTAGGCCAGTAAGTCACGGAGGGTTGAACCTGGTTGATATTGGTACGAAAAAGACTGCATTTCGTTTAAAATGGGTAAAGAAAATGATGGACCCCGAATGTACTCATAAGTTTAAATATTTTATGTGGTATTGTTTAAACAAGTATAGAAATATGAAATTAGACTCCAGTATTTTCAAAATAAATATTGACATTTCAAAATGTGGGGATGTCCCCCCTTTTTATCAAGAGATACTAAAAGCTTGGAGACTGGTTGTAAATAACAGATGGCGCCCTCTACAGTCAAATAATGACATTTGGCATGAACCATTGTTTTTTAATTCATACATAACCAACAATGGCGTACCTCTTTTTTTCAAAGATTATATTAATGCTGATATTGTGAAGGTTAAAGACCTCTTCTATGAAGTCGTGCCTGGTATTTTAACATGTGAGGCTATTGTAGAAATAGTTTGTGGTGCGTCGCAATCTGAACTGACTGAACGAATGATTGCCAATCAATATCAACAACTACTTAATTCGATACCTTCGGAATGGCTTCAATTTTGTGCATCTAACACCCACTCTGC